TTTATCAATTAGTGGCCCACTTACCTTAACCCCTCCGGAAAGTGAATACCAGTAGTCAACTTCACAGCAATCAAAATAACATGGACTTCCAATCTACAACACTATCACACCAATAAATTCCATTGTTTAATATGCACCCAAGTATTTTAATATCACAGAATAAAGGACTTCCAATCTACAACAATACCACACCAATAAATTCCATTGTTTAATATGAACCCAAATATTTTAATATCACAGAATAATGTCAGTACCTGTTTTCCAACCGAACCCCCCAGTCAGGCCCAGTAATGCACAGAGACCCCAAACTGCAAATTTTATTGAACTGATCAGTCCGTTGCCAAGCGTCTAAGAGAGTGTCATTGCATCCAACATCCTATGGAAAGATTTGTAGACAAAAAAGTACTAGCCTGATTTTGAATGATCCTCTGCCTGCGTCACACCTTGTCACGTCACGTCACGCACACGTTAGCCCCCCTCTCTCTCCTTTGCTCTGTTCTATAGGCTCATATGACAAGGAAAGAAAACAGTACAGACAAGCATTCAAAGTTTATACACTTAACCAAGTTATCCACATTCAATATTCCCCACTCACATTTGCTACAAAACTGAACCCAGGAATAAATAGATCGCTCAAAACATTTTAATTTTATTTTAATCCGTCATTTAATTCAATTAATTAAACTCCGTCAACATATATTTAATTTATAAATTTACTACATCTCAACAAATAGTTTCACGTTCGAATAACAGTTACTTTAACGATTTAAAAGATTCGTGACCACCTTCCCTTTATCTGTAGCTATTTCACCCCTGCCACCATTTTGTTTTGTAGGCTCAGCGCGACCGCATGTCGTAGTTTTAGCCCTGTAAAATCAAGCGCATGCGCACATCCACTTAAGCCCATGCTTACCACACAATAGAACGCCCGCATTCTACCTCAGTTTCTCTATTTTACACTTAGAATCAGACAATTACACAACAGACCTTACATTTGCGTAGAACTCTGAATTCCACCCAAATGCAAACAAAGTTAAGAGGCTTTACCCCATCGCAATGGACCTCTAAGGATACGTTAGCATGTAGCACACAACACAATTAGCATTTAGCATTAGCATTTAGCATTAACCTTAGCCACTATGTAGAATGTAGCATGATTCACACTTTAGCATTGAGAATTAGCCTTAGCCACGATGTACCACGTGGCCTGAAACAATCAAGCATTTAAATTAGCCTTAGCCTCTAGCTAACTGCGGCCTACTACACAACCACACACCCTGCACTGGCCTAATTATTCTGAACCTATTTCTCCTACCGTTTTTGTTGCCGAAAATTAACGACCATTACACCGAGAAATTAGACCCAATCAAACATCCCGTCGGACGAGAGTCAAATCATAATCACAATCAGATAAATTCCATCAACCTGAGTTCTCTTCAAAAACTCACCGAATGTACATTCTATCGTACACGCGGATTTTGCCAGCCCATTATCTAAAATGGCCCCCTCGGGGTCTTAAAGCGGTCCAGTGCCCTAAAGATGAATGCATATCGACCTTAATTGTACACTTTCAATACTTAAATCCTACCGTTTAATGCTCTAAATTTCCAATTACCTGCCGTTTACCAATGGAATATATTTTAGAATATTTTTAAAGACCCGTAATCGACCGCAACACCCCACATCAACAACGATCCAAGTATTTTTAATCTGTACACCTTCAATGCCCTCTCCCCAATCAACGGAATCACTAATGCCCGAATTTTGTGAGTAATCTCACCTTTAAAGCCGGCTTGGGCAGTAGTAACCTCGCGTCTCAGGAAGGAACCAGAACAATGCAATCAGAATCTCGGTAGGACCTCCATTTGTGGTATCGCGTCGAATGCTGGTGGGTATTGCTGTCGATCAAAGAATCCCCTTAGGCTGTATCGTGTTTTAGAGACTTTTATTAATACCACGAGGTTACAGCATAAGTTCACAGACCCGCGGAGATCCGGAGAAACAGTCCCAAATAAATCTTACTGTGTTCTGCCCCTCCGTCGTTGTTCCCCCCTTATATATAGCCTTCCAAGATGTGGGTGGCTCCCTCTACTGTCCAATCCCCGTGTCTACAACACACTTCCTGTCTGTCATATGGGGCGTCACACTAAAACCTTCCCTCTTGATACCAAAAATCAACATTCTTTCAGTTCCATTTAAAAAACATTTAACACCATCATATTGTCAATACACTACACTACTTAAAACCTATATAATATATGTATGTATGTGTGCAGTTCAACCTTTCTTTTATGTCCACATTTAGCGCTACTCAAGGAGCAAGAGTTACTAGATGTTTGAATGGTTTTACTCTCCTGCGCCTAACTCCTTCAAATCACACTCTCACAGTTGTGATGCAGTAGTCACGACCACAATCTCACAGAACTCAGTTAAAGACTGACTTTCTGACAAATTATCCTATTTACACTTTGTAGCAAATTTTGACAGTATAGAATAAATGTTTCGGACTCATATCGATGACACATAGGCTGTTTTCTAAATGATAATTTGGTTTATAGGGGCGGTTGCTCTTTATTGAGAAAGAAGTTGCTAGTTATGATCAGTGGCGGCTCCTGAAAAAATTCTCAGGGGGGGCAATTTTTCTGATGATTTAGGTGACCTACACACATTTTAAAAAAGATATGTCCAGCAACAACATGAAGACAGGGGCAGCATATAAGTCAATACCAGAAGCATTTATTGACTGATCTCAAAAGTGTTGGCTTACCAGGGTTGGTGGAGCCCTCAGTTTCATCTTTGCCTCGCAAAGCTAACTCAAACACTCCGCAAAACTTCACACACTGGATTAGCCGGCTGAGGATGTGGCGGTTCTTGCTAATGTCGTAGTAAATATATTTGTTATAGTGAATATGGAATATGATATGTTGAGTAAAATGTTGTGCTAAGATCTATTTAGGTCAGGAGCTGGTTATAAGTTCTGTTCCTATCCAATAACAATGGACAAAACGGTCCTATCTTGTCAGCCTTGTCAGTTTCAGTTCTCCAGTAAACTTGTGATTATCAACACTAACCTCATCGTTGTGGCGGCGGACAGCTAGCCTGTATCCCTCATCCAGTTGAGTAGCAATGTTCACTCTCCCCAAAGCAATCTCAAACAGCTATCCATGTGGGTCTTTGACAGCTCATGTTTCTTAATCTTTCCTGAAAGATGGTGCATGTCCGTTACACACCAGTCGCTGTCCAAGCGGTGCTGTCTGCCGTGCCGCCATCAGGGTGAAAGAGTAAGCAGGGGTAGCAGAAAACTGCATTAGCTACATCGCAGCCTGCTAGCCAGGTTTTTCGTTCATACCAATTTCTGGAAAATCCTCGGGTGTAGGACTTCCCCCCTTTAGTAGAAACCTGTTGAATTATTAAATTTGGTCTGGGAGGTCCTAATTGTTTCGTTGCCAATTTATCTTCATTTGTTCGCCGACAAAAAGGAACTTTTTTCAAAGACACAATCGAGTTGCACTGAAGCCTAGCCATTTTGATAGTAGTAGTGAATTGATTGACGCTGCTACCCGTTCTTTTCTTAGTTACGTTCATGGTTACGTTACGTATGACGAAAGCGCGTAAGTGCAAGCCCTCAGAAACCCACAGAGATTGTATTGAAAGCTCTGATATTTGAAAAAAATAGATTTTACATGGGAGTCTATGACAGACTTCTGGGCGATTTTCAACCTGACTGAAATCGCCCCAAAAGGGGGGGGGGGGGGGGGGGGGGGCATTTGAAGCACGACTTTAGCCTGATTGGACATTTAGTGGCACTGTGGCAGATCAGGCGTCTAGATTACAACACTGATAACTACTGTTGCCGTGATATAATTGATTAGAAAAGAAATCCCTTCCTTTTCCCGTTTGGCAGTGCGTCGCCCATATCGCCCTATTGAACACACCGCCCCTGGTTATGATGAACTATTGTTACTTCCCTGTGCTTACCAAATGCGTGAGGTTACCAAATTATTTTTTAGAATTCAAGCCAAGCTGACATGTGACATTAACTCACCGCCTATCAGAGAGCATGGGAGCAATTATATTTCTCCTGATTCTGGGTCAGTAAATGTTCAGCTTTTTATTTGACTACAATATCATAATTTAGTCTATTTAAAATCTATATAATATATGTATGTGTGCAGTTCAACCTTTGTTTATGTCTTCATTTAGCGCTTCTCAAGGACCATGGTCATGGAGCTCCACAGAAAGGTGGAGATGAAGCTAAGGGGATTTTGTATTATGCTATTTGTGATGTTAATGATGATGAAAACTGATGGTGATATTATATATTCATGTGTAATGTCTTTTAGACTTATATTTTTTAATTATTGTATTGTTAGGTTGATCAGTAATATTCACCTAAATCAGCAATTTATAAATGGCTCATTTGTTCATTCTCCAGCATTAACCAGACCTTGCTCAAGAACATTCAACACCATTCACTTCAAATATGATCTCTGTCATAACTTTAAATACCTATCTGGCCTTTCTCATGTAGATACAGTGAGGGAAAAAAGTATTTGATCCCCTGCTGATTTTGTACGTTTGCCCACTGACTAAGACATGATCAGTCTATAATTTTAATGGTAGGTTTATTTGATTTATTGAACAGTGAGAGACAGTGAGAGACAGAATAACAACAACAAAATCCATTGTTATTCTGTCTCTCACTGTTCAAATAAACCTACCATTAAAATTATAGACTGATCATTTCTTTGTCAGTGGGCAAACGTACAAAATCAGCAGGGGATCAAATACTTTTTTCCCTCACTGTATACGTAGATTAGTGTAAGGATGCTGTCTGTATGAACCTTGTGTGTGTAGGTGAGAAATAACATTATTTTCCTCTGATGTATATGGCTTTAAACCAATAGTCTTATGGCTACCTTGAGTTTGAGACGAGACAAAACCAGTGCTTTTAAATGGCCATGTAACTACATTACACATGTCATAACGTTATTTTGTATATGTTGTGTCATATAGATATCGATGAGTGTAGTAACAACTCACTCATCTGTGGGGACAATTCAGCTTGTTTCAATACTGTTGGTAGCTACTACTGTGAGTGTCTTACTGGGTTTAAGGACTTCGCTGGTGCCACTCGACAATGCTTGGGTAAGAATTTTGTCTTTAGTATCATCCTTATAATCAGACACTTTCACCCTCATCTCTCCATCTCCACTTCATCCTCATCAATCTCAACACTCTCTTTCTCTTTCAGACATAGATGAGTGTGCTGAGAACCAACATATTTGTGGGGAATGGGACATCTGTCTCAATCAGGTGGGTAGCTACCAGTGCAAGTGTCCCACAGGATTCAGTAACTACAACTACAGACGAACTCACTGTGTAGGTGAGAGAAACAATTATTATTGGGTCTTCTTGTATTGGGTTTTGTCTAAATATTCTAAGATGGCTACCTTAACTTGTCTGTCTTCCATGTACTGGCTGACTGTACTGAACCACCCTAACATTCTGTGTTAAGTTTTATTTACCCCCTGGTCTCCATGTTATGTCATCTAGATATCAATGAGTGTATGGCCAATCCCCAAATCTGTGAGGACCATTCAATTTGCCTCAATACCATTGGCAGTTACTATTGTGAGTGTCTTCCTGGGTTCACATTACAGCCCACAAATATTGCAACTGGACAGTGTTTGGGTAAGTATTGTTTAATGTGTGTGTGTGTGTGTGTGTTTGTGTGTGTGCACTGTTTCCTTGTCATCACCCTAATATCCATATTTCTTCCTCAGGCGACTAACTCATCTCTCTCTTTCTCTTTCAGACATTAACGAGTGTAACACAGAAGGAGTATGTGGAAAGGGGGGCATCTGCCACAACCTGAATGGCAGCTACTGGTGCCTGTGTTCTGCTGGATTTACTAACTTCGGCAACAACCAAACTAAGTGTGTAGGTGAGAGACAAGCACCATTCCACCTGTCGTCCATGATGCACTCCTTTGTCATGCACGGGTCTGGACATAGTGTACTGTAGAAGGGTATTGAGATAATATGTCTCCATGTTTTTACTTTAGAGCTTAATTGTGACCAGTATGAAACACAGCCTGGTCAGGTAAAGTTTTACTTTACAATTATTACACTAAGAATTGAGAAAAGGGTATTTTTCCTTGATCTTGAAATGTTTAATGCATTTTTCCCACGGCTGCACATGCCCCCCCCTCCCTCCCTCCTAGACTCTACCAGGCTTTGACAGTTTCGTGTCTCTGTTGAGAAACAACTGTTTGGTGTTGAGCAACTCTACATTGCCTGGACCTTCAAGACAGCTGCTGACTGCAAATGTGCTTTTGACAGTAAGTCACCACACAGAAACACACACACACACACATGCAACCACACACGTATAAAACCCTTATGTCTCTCTTCTCTAGTTACTTGTTAATACCACTGATGTTCTTCACCTGGGCGTCCAGTCCAATGCTGAAGTGACTAAGTTACTGAGGACAATTGAAATGTCTATCAGACTGATCGCTCCACTGCTGACAGAGAACGTGACCAGGATAGAGACCAACCACACAAGTAACACACACACACTGAACACACGCTGACCACAATATTTACCATTTACTGACCACAATCTGAACACCATACTGACTGTAAAAGGAGCACTAACAAGCACATTAGATTGTTACAATGTTCAAATCAAATATATGCAATATTGTGTTCTTTCAGTAATGGTGATTTCTGGTCTGTGTTGATTTTGTCTATCTTGATAAACAGAGGCTGAGATTATGGTGAGGAGAGACAAGACTCCACCTGAAGGACCAGTCAGCCTGACCAATGAGAACACTCAACTTGACACCACCTGGGAGACGGCGGTTGGAGATTACCAGAATTACCCAGGTAGCCGCGGTCCTACAGTACCAATCATCTCCTCAAAATATTATTACAGGCACACATTGATGGATTCGCTTGGGATATTGTTGCACATGTTTTTGTATCAGGCCTTATGTTTTCTTTTGTTGTTTTTGGTGTGCAGGGTTTGCCTTTGTCGTTCTGCTCAGCTATAAGAATCTGGATACTCTGAAGGACAGTTTTTCTCCTCAGAGCCAGCAGCTCATGTCCAGTGCTGTGACGGTGTCCGTTAGCAACTCCAACACAACAAACCTGCCCCAACCGGTTAATCTCACCTTCAATCACCTGCAGGTAACACTTGTGTCTCTTCTTAATAGTGTCTGGCTGTCAGTAAAACATGTTTTTCATTTATATATTTTGCATGAAGTCACATTTTTTCCTGAATTGACTGAGTGAAAATGGAATGAACCCCAACTCATATATACACTGTATCCTAGTCCAGTGATGTTGACCCCACCTGTGTTTATTGGTCGGATGAGAATGGACCGGGGGAGTGGTCTGGGCGGGGTTGCACTTCAGTGATGTCAAACTCCACCCACACTGTGTGCTCCTGCAACCATCTCAGCACATTTGCTCTGCTGAAGGGAATCCATCAGAAAAAGGTGATGAGAACACTAACCAGTTTTCCGTCCTCCCACTACGACTCGTCTGGAAAGCATGCAGTTTATTAGGCAACAGATTAAATAAATGTATGATGAACTTTACAGGGTGGTGAATGTGCAATAAATATCAAGGGTCTTATTCTGGTGACATGATCATCGATGCTAGGCTATAGTTTGACAAATATAAACAATCTCGCTCTTTTGTCCATAATAATCTCATCATGTAGGCAATACGTGCACTCTAGCCAACAGCGCACATATACTTATCCGTAAACAGCGCTGTGGACTAGAGCGCAGGTGCCAATACCGGAGTGGGCACATATATATTGCAACATATGTTTGTGAGAAAACCATCAGTAGAGTTGAAAATGCCATGGAAACCCATTTAACTTGTATTTTTCAATTGGGAAACATGGGAATTTAACCGCAAAGGGTATTTTTATGTGCACTATGTCATCACGCACAGCATTTTATCTGCAACAAGTCAGTTTGATGGAAACACCTCTCTGGTGTGAAAATGCGCATATTGTTTTAATGCAGATTGTTTAATATTCCCATGTAAATCTGTCGCCAATTGGATGGAAACCTAGCTAGTGTAGCACATCTGAAGGGGGAGAAAATATATTCCCAGATATCTGTGTCAGAGACTTCTTTGGTTCCTCTAGAAATGTTCATTTTTTTAACTGCTGAATGTAAGCGTTTGATGCATATGTCATATTATTTAAGTATTTGATGCATTTGTCACATTATTTAGGAGAGTTTGATGCTTGTTGATTGCTGATGTTGTTTTGTTCATACTGTCTAGATGGTGTGTCTAATGCTTGTTATTCCTTGTTTGCAGGAAAGCGGCCAGCTGTCGGTGGTGATGTGGGTGGGCATTTCTGTGGCACTGGCCTTTGTGGTCCTATCCCTGATCATGTCCCTGTGGTGTCGCAATTTCAGTCGCAAACGCCGTGGAGGACACCGACTGCAACAGGATATACAACTCTATAGCAAATAAGACATGGATTTGAACTATTGGTGTTATAAGAAAAGCTTTACTTGGAATCCATTTGTAACATTGTCTCTTGGCTTGCAAGGACAAATGCCAGCATTTTTATTCAATTAAGTAGTATAAAATGTATCAAACAAAAAATATATAAGAACACATAACTTTATGTTAATAGATATACAATATCTCATGTATATAACGCTTAAAAGTTCCAGACTGTAACAGCAGAGCTCTCATCTCTATGGCAAAATACATAAGTTATTTTAGTCTCATAAGCATGGTCTGTAATTTGTAGCATACATTTTTCTAGAATAGTGGTATATCCACTCAAAGCTGTATTTGTCCAGTATCATGCCACTTGGTTGTTGTTGTAACCGAGTTATTTTAAGTGAAAGTAATATTTTTCCTGTGTATTAAAATGTATTTTAATCAAAAAATTATCTCGCTATTATTTGCTCCATTCTGATTCAAATTTCTAAATATGAGCTGTACATTTCTTAAAAACTAAAGCACTACACCATACTGAAAGTACAATGAATTTGTTCATTGCACACCCATTATTTTTTTTTTTGCCTCAGTAGGCTTGCCCACATGGTGTAAAGACTTCCAAACACCCAAACTGACTTAAAGGCCCAGTGCTGTCAAAAACATAATTTTCCTGTGTTTTATATATATTTAAACACTGTGAGGTTGGAATAAGACTGTGAAATTGTGAAAACTATAATAATGCCCTTTTAGTTTAAGAGCTGTTTGAAAAGACAGTCTGAAATGTCAGCCTGTTTTGGTGGGATGGAGTCAGCTTTTTCATAAGTCAGCTGGTTTAAGTGGCCCTGTTGATAAGCAATCGATAGTGTCTATACTGTGCATGTTGGTGTTTTAGATCAATGTAGGGAATGTCAATCTTGGAGGGAGATAGACCCTCTATACTAGAGTCTAATTAAGGGATGCAACTCATCCTGCGATATGGCTTTTTCTTTGCAACTCTGTCTAGAAGGTCAGCATCCCGGAATCACCTCTTCCCTGTTGACATTGAGACTGGTGTTTTGCGGGTACTATTTAATGAAGCTGCCAGTTGAGGACATGTGAGGCGCCTGTTTCTCAAACTAGACACTCTAATGTATATAGGGAATGTCAATCTTGGAGGGTCTATCTTGGAGATAAACCCTCTAGACTAGAGTCTAATTCAGGGATGCAACTCATCCCTGATCAGTGCCTGCTGGTTTTCATGCTTCCCTTTTAATCAGAAACTGAATTATTGTACCTGGGTGAAATCTAGTAAGTAAGTGGGTGCAAATAAGTGGGTGCAATCCCTGGCCAAACGAGGGAAGATTAACTGGAATTGTGTACATCCTCTAGATAGACCATCATTTAGGAAAGTGGAAGCGGTCTACGCGAAACTAGACAAATCAACCTGATGCGAATTGCTATTGAATTTATCTTCTTGTGATACCCAAACAGTTCCTCTTTGTTTTTGACTTAAAATAAAAATACATTGCTAGTCATGGTGAACTATTGTTACTTCCCTGTGAGTGTGGGAACATGCATGAGGTTACCAAATTATTATTTTGAACTAAAGCCAAACTGACGTGTGACACCGCCTGGTAGAGATTCTATTTCTCCTGATTGTGGGTCAGTCAATTTTCTGCTTTTTATTTGACCAACACATCATCATTGAGTCTACTTAAAACCTATATAATATGTGTATGTATGTGTGCAGTTCAACCTTTGTTTTATGTCCACATTTAGCGTTACTCAAGGACCAAGGAGCAAGAGTTACTAGATGTGTGAATTGTATTGGTAATGATGGAGAATATGATTATATTTTCATGTGTAGTATTTTGCTTTACTAATGTACTTTGATCAGGAATGTTGACCTCTGATAATCTCCAGCATTAAACAGACCTTGTTTAGGAACATTCAACACTATGTACTGTTTAGTAGTGATATATTTTTTCAGAACATAATGTGTCCTCCTTCCAGAGTGCAAAGAACCTTGGCGTGACCCTGGACAACACCCTGTCGTTCTCCGCTAACATCAAAGCGGTGACCCGATCCTGTAGGTTCATGCTCTACAACATTCGCAGAGTACGACCCTACCTTACACAGGAGGCGGCACAGGTCCTAATCCAGGCACTTGTCATCTCCCGGGGGTACCGTCACGACTTCCTCCGAAGCTGCCTCCCCTCCTTGTTTGGGCAGGCTTAGGCTTGTCGTCACCGGCCTTCTAGCCACTGCCGCTCCATATCTCATCATTCCATTTGTCTTGTCTTGTCAATTACACACACCTGGTTCATATTCCCCTCATTAGTACATGTATAAGTGTGCAGCCGAGCGGAAATGGAGGAAAACTAGACTCCCTGCGGACCTGGCATCTTTTCCCTCCCTCCTCTCTACATTTTCTTCCTCTGTTTCTGCTGCAACTCACTCATCTGTGGTAACAACTCACTCATCTGTGGGGACAATTCAGCTTGTTTCAATACTGTTGGTAGCTACTACTGTGAGTGTCTTACTGGGTTTAAGGACGTCGCTGGTGCCACTCGACAATGCTTGGGTAAGAATTCTGTCTTTAGTATCATCCTTATAATCAGACACTTTCACCATCATCTCTCCATCTCCACTTCATCCTCATCAATCTCAACACTCTCTTTATCTTTCAGACATAGAAGAGTGTGTTGAGTACCAACATATTTGTGGGGAATGGGGAACCTGTCTTAATCAGGTGGGTAGCTACCTGTGCCAGTGTCCCAATGGATTTAGAAACGCTGGCGACGGACAAACTCAGTGTGTAGGTGAGAGAAACACGATTTTTCTTGAGTCTTCTGACTCTCCCATCCACTGCTGTGTTATTTTGACTGACCCATAACATTCTGTTGAAACTTTTATTTACTCCTTGTGTAACAGTCTTTACTGTCCCTGACCGTACCATGGCTCAAACTAGTTATCCTCTGCTTAGCAAACACACATTACTGTCCCTTGACAACACACTAGCCAGTTGCGCCACCGAAAAGGTACCATTTCGGTGATGCAGGTGCAAACATTTTAAACTCTCGTACACTTGGACGCATCAATATTATTTAGATATCAATGAGTGTATAGACATTCTCCCCATCTGTGGGGACAATTGATCTTGCGTCAACACCACAGGCAGTTACTACTGTGTCTTCCTGGGTTTAGATTAGAGCCCAAGAATATCACTGGCAAAATGTTTGTGTGCGCGTGCGTGCGTCTTGCGTTCATGTGTGTGTTTGTGTGTGTGACGTCCTTTCCTTGTCATTCCACACTTTCATCCTCTCTCTTTCCCTTTCAGACATTAAAGAGTGTAAGATAGACAGAGTATGTGGAAAGAGGGGGATCTGCCAAAACCTGAATGGCAGCTACTGGTGCCAGTGTTTTGCTGGATTTACTAACTTCGGCAACAACCAAACTAAGTGTGTAGGTGAGAGACAAGCACCATTCCACCTGTCGTCCATGATGCACTCCTTTGTCATGCACGGGTCTGGACATAGTGTACTGTAGAAGGGTATTGAGATAATATGTCTCCATGTTTTTACTTTAGAGCTTAATTGTGACCAGTATGAAACACTGCCTGGTCAGGTAAAGCTTTACTTTAAAATTATTACACTAAGAATTGAGAAAAGGGTATTTTTCCTTGATCTTGAAATGTTTAATGCATTTTTCCCACGGCTGCACATGCCCCTCCCTCCCTCCCTCCTAGACTCTACCAGGCTTTGACAGTTTCATGTCTCTGTTGAGAAACAACTGTTTGGTATTGAGCAACTCTACATTGCCTGGACCTTCAAGACAGCTGCTGACTGGAAATGTGCTTTTGACAGTAAGTCACCACACAGAAACACACACACACACACATGCAACCACACACGTATAAAACCCTTATGTCTCTCTTCTCTAGTTACTTGTTAATACCACTGATGTTCTTCACCTGGGCGTCCAGTCCAATGGTGAAGTGACTAAGTTACTGAGGACAATTGAAATGTCTGTCAGACTGATCGCTCCACTGCTGACAGAGAACGTGACCAGGATAGAGACCAACCACACAAGTAACACACACACACTGAACACACGCTGACCACATATTTACCATTTACTGACCACAATCTGAACACCATACTGACTGTAAAAGGAGCACTAACAAGCACATTAGATTGTTACAATGTTCAAATCAAATATATGCAATATTGTGTTCTTTCAGTAATGGTGATTTCTGGTCTGTGTTGATTTTGTCTATCTTGATAAACAGAGGCTGAGATTATGGTGAGGAGAGACAAGACTCCACCTGAAGGACCAGTCAGCCTGACCAATGAGAACACTCAACTTGACACCACCTGGGAGACGGCGGTTGGAGATTACCAGAATTACCCAGGTAGCCGCGGTCCTACAGTACCAATCATCTCCTCAAAATATTATTACAGGCACACATTGATGGATTCGCTTGGGATATTGTTGCACATGTTTTTGTATCAGGCCTTATGTTTTCTTTTGTTGTTTTTGGTGTGCAGGGTTTGCCTTTGTCGTTCTGCTCAGCTATAAGAATCTGGATACTCTGAAGGACAGTTTTTCTCCTCAGAGCCAGCAGCTCATGTCCAGTGCTGTGACGGTGTCCGTTAGCAACTCCAACACAACAAACCTGCCCCAACCGGTTAATCTCACCTTCAATCACCTGCAGGTAACACTTGTGTCTCTTCTTAATAGTCTCTGGCTGTCAGTAAAATATGTTTTTCATTTATATATTTTGCATGAAGTCAAATTTTTTCCTGAATTGACTGAGTGAAAATGGAATGAACCCCAACTCATATATACACTGTATCCTAGTCCAGTGATGTTGACCCCACCTGTGTTTATTGGTCGGATGAGAATGGACCGGGGGAGTGGTCTGGGCGGGGTTGCACTTCAGTGATGTCAAACTCCACCCACACTGTGTGCTCCTGCAACCATCTCAGCACATTTGCTCTGCTGAAGGGAATCCATCAGAAAAAGGTGATGAGAACACTAACCAGTTTTCCGTCCTCCCACTACGACTCGTCTGGAAAGAATGCAGTTTATTAGGCAACAGATTAAATAAATGTATGATGAACTTTACAGGGTGGTGAATGTGCAATAAATATCAAGGGTCTTATTCTGTTGACATGATCATCGATGCTAGGCTATAGTTTGACAAATATAAACAATCTCGCTCTTTTGTCCATAATAATCTCATCATGTAGGCAATACGTGCACTCTAGCCAACAGCGCACATATACTTATCCGTAAACATCGCTGTGGACTAGAGCACACGTGCCAATACCGGAGTGGGCACATATATATTGCAACATATGTTTGTGAGAAAACCATCAGTAGAGTTGAAAATGCCATGGAAACCCATTTAACTTGTATTTTTCATTCGGGAAACATGGGAATTTAACCGCAAAGGGTATTTTTATGTGCACTATGTCATCACGCACAGCATTTTATCTGCAACAAGTCAGTTTGATGGAAACACCTCTCTTGTTGATTGCTGATGTTGTTTTGTTCATACTGTCTAGATGGTGTGTCTAATGCTTGTTATTCCTCGTTTGCAGGAAAGTGGCCAGCTGTCGGTAGTGATGTGGGTGGGCATTTCTGTGGCACTGGCCTTTGTGGTCCTATCCCTGATCATGTCCCTGTGGTGTCGCAATTTCAGCCGCAAACGCCGTGGAGGACACCGACTGCAACAGGATATACAACTCTATAGCAAATAAGACATGGATTTGAACTATTGGTATTATAAGAAAAGCTTTACTTGGAATCCATTTGTAACATTGTCTCTTGGCTTGCAAGGACAAATGCCAGCATTTCTATTTAATTAAGTAGTATAAAATGTATCAAACAAAAAATATATAAGAACACATAACTTTATGTTAATAGATATACAATATCTCATGTATATAACGCTTAAAAGTTCCAGACTGTAACAGCAGAGCTCTCATCTCTATGGCAAAATACATAAGTCATTTTAGTCTCATAAGCATGGTCTGTAATTTGTAGCATACATTTTTCTAGAATAGTGGTATATCCACTCAAAGCTGTATTTGTCCAGTATCATGCCACTTGGTTGTTGTTGTAACCGAGTTATTTTAAGTGAAAGTAATATTTTTCCTGTGTATTAAAATGTATTTTAATCAAAAAATTATCTTGCTATTATTTGCTCCATTCTGATTCAAATATCTAAATATGAGCTGTCCATCTCTTAAAAACTAAAGCACTACACCATACTGAAAGTACAATGAATTTGTTCATTGCACACCCAATTTAATTTTTTTGCCTCAGTAGGCTTGCCCACATGGTGTAAAGACTTCCAAACACCCAAACGGACTTAAAGGCCCAGTGCTGTCAAAAACATGATTTTCCTGTGTTTTATATATATTTAAACACTGTGAGGTTGGAATAAGACTGTGAAATTGTGAAAACTATGATAATGCCCTTTTAGTTTAAGAGCTGTTTGAAAAGACAGTCTGAAATGTCAGCCTGTTTTGGTGGGATGGAGTTTTGGCTTGCCTTGTGCAAGATATTTTGAAAGGGAGAGAAAAAGATAAGTAGCGGTGCTTCAGAGTGAAATATGGATTTTAAGTCAGCTTTTTCATAAATCAGCTGGTTTAAGTGGCCCTGTTGATAAGCAATCGATAGTGTCTATACTGTGCATGTTGGTGTTTTAGATCAATGTAGGGAATGTCAATCTTGGAGGGAGATAGACCCTCTATACTAGAGTCTAATTAAGGGATGCAACTCATCCTGCGATATGGCTTTTTCTTTGCAACTCTGCCTAGAAGGTCAGCATCCCGGAGTCACCTCTTCACTGTTGACATTGAGACTGGTGTTTTGCGGGTACTATTTAATGAAGCTGCCAGTTGAGGACATGTGATGCGCCTGTTTCTCAAACTAGACACTCTAATGTATATAGGGAATGTCAATCTTGGAGGGTATATCTTGGAGATAAACCCTCTAGACTAGAGTCTAATTCAGGGATGCAACTCATCCCTGATCAGTGTCTGCTGGTTTTCAAGCTTCCCTTTTAATCAGAAACTGAATTATTGTACCTGGGTGAAATCTAGTAAGTAAGTAGGTGCAAATAAGTGGGTGCAATCCCTGGCCAAACGAGGGAAGATTAACTGGAATTGTGTACCTCCTCTAGATAGACCATAATTTAGGAAAGTGGAAGCGGTCTACGCGAAACTAGACAAATCAACCTGATGCGAATTGCTATTGAATTTATCTTCTTGTGATACCCAGACAGTTCCTCCTTGTTTTTGACTTAAAATAAAAATACGTTGCTAGTCATGGTGAACTATTGTTACTTCCCTGTGAGTGTGGGAACATGCATGAGGTTACCAAATTATTATTTAGAACTGAAGGCAAACTGACGTGTGACACTGCCTGGTAGAGATTCTATTTCTCCTGATTGTGGGTCAGTCAATTTTCTGCTTTTTATTTGACCAACACATCATCATTGAGTCTACTTAAAACCTATATAATATATGTATGTATGTGTGCAGTTCAACCTTTATTTTATGTCCACATTTAGCGCTACTCAAGGACCAAGGAGCAAGAGTTACTAGATGTGGGAATGGTTTTACTCAACCGTATCCCAAACCATGGTTTCTGAATTGTATTGGTAATGATGGAGAATATGATTATATTTTCATGTGTAGTATTTTGCTTTACTAATGTACTTTGATCAGGAATGTTGACCTCTGATAATCTCCAGCATTAAACAGACCTTGTTTAGGAACATTCAACACTATGTACAGTTTAGTAGTGAGATATTTTTTCAGAACATAATGTGTCCTCCTTCCAGAGTGCAAAGAACCTTGGCGTGACCCTGGACAACACCCTGTCGTTCTCCGCTAACATCAAAGCGGTGACCCGATCCTGTAGGTTCATGCTCTACAACATTCGCAGAGTACTACTCTACTTTACACAGGAAGCGGCACAGGTCCTAATCCAGGCACTTGTCATCTCCCGTCTGGATTACTGCAACTCGCTGTTGGCTGGGCTCCCTGCCTGTGCCATTAAACCCATACAACTCATCCAGAACTGTCACCAATTCTGCCGAGACTGCTCCTCCTCCTTGCTCGGGCAGGCTTCGGCGTTCGTCGTCCCCGGAGTACTAGCTGCCACCGTTGAATGTTATCGATGTTTGTTTGGTTTTGTCTTATTTGTACACCGGTGTCTAGTTAGTGTTCATTATGTCCCCTATAAGTTTCTCGTTTTGTTTGTGGGTATTTGTGTGTAATTGTCCGCCTGTCTGGTGTTGTCAGTTTGGTTTTCCTTGATCGGATTATTCTTGTTACGCATGGTTTGCGTGTTCGTTTTACCTCCTGTGTCGAGGTCTTTATTCTTTGTATTGAGTGTTTGTTTTCTCAGTCCAGTAAAGTCGTTTTGACTGAACCTCTGTGTCCTGCGCCTGACTCCCACCACACATCGACATCAGCCTTTGACAGAATTACACACCATTATGGAGTCAGCAGGAGCAGCGGCGGCACCCGAGTCGCTGGAGGATCGGGTCAGCGGTCAAGACGCTAGGATCCAACAACTCGGATCCGCCCTGCATGAGGTGATGAACACTGCGCCGATGGGAGAGAGGAGGGGTGCCCACACCTCCTCCAACCTTACCACCACCATCGGCCAGTCTTCACATCCCAGCACCGGAATCCAGTGGGATTCGGCTCTCGCTCCCGAGGGCGTATGATGGCACCGCAGCCGGGTGTCAGGGGTTCCACCTGCAGGTGGAACTCTACCTGGCCACCATACACCCGGCGCCCTCGGGATACGAGAGCGTTTCCGCCCTCATCTCCTGTCTCTCCGGCAAGGCGTTGGAGTGGGCCAATGCCGAATGGAGGGGAATAGACGGCGCCACCATCACCTACGCAGAGTTCTCCCGCCGCTTCAGGGCAGTGTTCGATCATCCACCTGAGGGGAAAGCGGCAGGGGAGCGTCTGTTCCACCTCCGACAGGGGAAGAGGAGCGCACAGGAGTTCGCCCTGGATTTCCGGACTCTAGCGGTGGATGCGGGGAGGAATGAGAGGGCCCTCATCGACCACTATCGATGCAGTCTGTGGGAGGACGTTCGTCGAGAGCTGGCCTGCAGGGACACCAACCTATTGTTCGACCAGTTGGTGGACATGTCCATCCGTCTCGATACCCTGCTGGCCACCCGCGGACGTCCCGAGTTGGGGCCGTCCATTCCATCCTTCAGCACCTCCGAGCCGAGCCCTATGGAGCTCGGGGGTGCTGGCGCTAGAGAGAGGAGGAGAGAGAGCCCGAGGGGGGCCGTCCCCTGCACCAACTGTGGCCGTGGAGGGCACACTGCGGCTAGGTGCTGGGGAGGGTCTCCAGGGGGACGGGACAACAGGTCACGCACTGGGGAGTCATTTCAGGTGAGTAGGCGCCCCACTTACCCAGAGCTCTCTGTTGTTCACTTGTGTATACCTGTAAGATTTCCTCAGGTTGCACCTCATTCCCAGCATAAGGCGCTAGTCGATTCAGGCGCAGCTGGGAATTTTGTTGATCGGAAATTTTGTGTAAGGTTAGGGATTCCCCTCCTGCCTGTTGATGCTCCCTTCCCTGTCCATGCACTAGATAGCCGCCCGTTGGGATCAGGGTTGATTAGAGAAGTCACAGCACCACTAAAGATGAATACGCAGGGGGGTCATGAGGAGACCATTCAGTTATATCTGATCGACTCTCCTGCGTATCCCGTGGTGCTGGGGCTTCCCTGGTTAATCACCCATGATCCCACCATTTCGTGGCAACAGAGGGCTCTCAAGGAGTGGTCTGCCCAGTGTGTAGGGCGATGTCTAGGTGTTTCCGTGGGGGCGACCTCGGTGGAGAGTCCTAACCAAGTGCCCGCAATGCACATTCCCCCTGAGTATGAGGATTTAGCACTCGTGTTCAGCAAAACGAGGGCGACGCGGTTGCCACCTCATAGACAGGGGGATTGTGCGATAGACCTCCAGATAGGAGCAGCCCTTCCGCGGAGCCATGTGTATCCTTTGTCTCAAGAGGAGACGGCGGCTATGGAGACTTACATAGCCGAGTCCCTGAGACAAGGATACATGCGGACCTCCACTTCCCCGGCGTCCTCGAGTTTCTTCTTTGTGAAGAAGAAAGATGGGGGTTTGCGCCTGTGTATTGATTACCGTAGTCTCAATCAGACCATGTTAAATACAGTTATCCTCTTCCTCTGATTGCGAGTATGACTGAATCATTACGCGGAGCGCGGTTCTTCACAAAATTGGATCTCAGGAGCGCCTACAACCTGGTGCGCATTAGGGAGGGAGATGAATGGAAAACAGCATTTAGCACCACCTCGGGTCATTATGAGTATCTCGTCATGCCATACGGGTTAATGAATGCTCCTTCAGTCTTCCAATCCTTTGTGGACGAGATCTTCCGGGACATGCATGGGCAGGGTGTGGTAGTGTACATTGACGACATCCTAGTGTACTCTTCTACACGAGCCGAGCATGTAGCCCTGGTGCGCCGAGTGTTGGGTAGGTTGTTGGAGCATGACTTGTATGTCAAGGCAGAGAAATGTCTGTTTTTCCAGGAGTCTGTCTCCTTTTTGGGTTATCGGTTGTCCGCGTCAGGGTTGAAGATGGAGGTTGACCGTGTGTCAGCCATGCGTAATTGGCAAACCCCAACCACTGTTAAAGAGGTGTAGCAGTTTTGGGGTTTTGCCAATTACTACCGGAGGTTTATCCGGGGTTTTGGACAGGTGGCAGCTCCCATAACTTCCCTGCTGAAAGGGGGCCCGGTGCGTTTGCAGTGGTCAGCTGAAGCGGACAGGGCATTTGGTAAACTGAAGGACCTGTTCACTTCGGCTCCGGTGCTGGCGCATCCGGACCCCGCTTTACCATTCCAGGTAGAGGTGGACGCGTCAGAGGCCGGTATTGGGGCAGTACTGTCGCAACGGTCCGGCACGCCACCTAAACTCCGCCCCTGTGCTTTCTATTCTAAGAAGCTCAGCCAGAGTGTCCTGTGGGTCGGACGTACGTTCCGCTCGAAGTTCGTGATCGTCTTATTTATTGGGCTCATACGTCACCCTCCTCTGGACATCCAGGTATTGTCCGGACAGTGCACTGCCTTAGCGCTAAGTACTGGTCGTTGTGGATCGGTTCTCTAAGGCCTGTCGTCTCCTCCCAATGCCGGGTCTCCCTACTGCCCTACAGACCGCTGAGGCACTGTTTACCCACGTCTTCCGGCACTACGGGGTGCCCGAGGATATAGTGTCTGATCGAGGTCCCCAGTTCACCTCCAGAGTCTGGAGGGCGTTCATGGAACGCTTGGGGGTCTCGGTGAGCCTTACCTCGGGGTACCACCCAGAGAGCAATGGGCAGGTAGAAAGAGTGAACCAGGATGTGGGTAGGTTTTTGAGATCCTATTGCCAGGACCGGCCGGAGGAGTGGTCGAGGTATATCCCCTGGGCAGAGATGGCACAGAACTCTCTCCGCCACTCCTCCACCAACCTAACCCCTTTCCAGTGTGTGTTGGGGTATCAGCCGGTTCTGGCACCATGGCATCAGAGCCAGATCGAGGCTCCTGCGGTGGATGAGTGGTTGCGGCGCTCGGAGGAGACGTGGAATGCTGCACACGTCCATCTGCAGCGGGCCATCTGTCAACAGAAGGCGAGCGCCGATCTCCACCGCAGTGAGGGTCCGGTGTATGCACCTGGAGATCGAGTCTGGCTCTCGACTCGAAACCTGCCCCTCCGCCTGCCCTGCCGGAAGCTGGGTCGGCAGTTTGTGGGGCCATTTAAAGTCCTGAGGAGATTGAACGAGGTGTGTTACAGGTTACAACTGCCTATTGATTATCACATTAACCCCTCGTTCCATGTGTCTCTTCTCAGGCCGGTGGTAGCTGGTCCACTCCAGGACTGTGAGATAAGAGAGACCCCTCCGCCCCCACTGGACATCGAGGGGGCTCCGGCGTACACAGTTCGGTCCATCCTGGATTCGAGACGTCGGATGGGGGGTCTCCAATATCTCGTGGAGTGGGAGGGGTACGGTCCGGAGGAACGGTGCTGGGTGCCTAGGAGGGACATCTTAGATCCATCCCTCCTGACTGAGTTCCACCGTGGTCATCCTATGCGCCCTGCTCCGCGTCCTCCTGGTCGTCCCCGAGGCCGGGGTCGGCGCACGGCTGGGGCCGCGCGTCAAGGGGGGGGGGTACTGTCACGAATTCTGCCGAGACTGCTCCTCCTCCTTGTTCGGACAGGCTTCGGCGTTCGTCGTCCCCGGAGTACTAGCTGCCACCGTTGAATGTTATCGATGTTTGTTTGGTTTTGTCTTATTTGTACACCGGTGTCTAGTTAGTGTTCATTATGTCCCCTATAAGTTTCTCGTTTTGTTTGTGGGTATTTGTGTGTAATTGTCCGCCTGTCTGGTGTTGTCAGTTTGGTTTTCCTTGATCGGATTATTCTTGTTACGCATGGTTTGCGTGTTCGTTTTACCTCCTGTGTCGAGGTCTTTATTCTTTGTATTGAGTGTTTGTTTTCTCAGTCCAGTAAAGTCGTTTTGACTGAGCCTCTGTGTCCTGCGCCTGACTCCCACCACACATCGACATCAGCCTTTGACAAGAACGCTGCAGCCCGTCTGGTGTTCAACCTTCCCAAGTTCTCTCACGTCACCCCGCTCCTCCGCACACTCCACTGGCTTCCAGTCGAAGCTCGCATCTGCTACAAGACCATGGTGTTTGCCTACGGAGCTGTGAGGGGAACGGCACCTACGTACCTTCAGGCTCTGATCAGTCCCTACACCCAAACGAGGACATTGCGTTCATCCACCTCTGGCCTGCTGGCCCCACTACCTCTGCGGAAGCACAGTTCCCGCTCAGCTCAGTCAAAACTGTTCGCTGCTCTGGCACCCCAATGGTGGAACAAGCTCCCTCACGACGCCAGGACAGCGGAGTCACTCACCACCTTCCGGAGACACTTGAAACCCCACCTCTTTAAGGAATACCTGGGATAGGATAAAGTAATCCTTCTACCCCCCCCCCCCCCCTTACCCCACCCCCCCAAAAAAATAACATATTGTAAAGTGGTTATCCCACTGGCTATAATGTGAATGCACCAATTTGTAAGTCGCTCTGGATAAGAGCATCTGCTAAATGACGTAAATGTAAATGTATGTACTATGGAATAAACTCTGTCTTCTGTGATTTACCCTCCTGCGCCTGACTCCTTCAAATCACACTCTCACAGTTGTGATGCAGTAGTCACGACCACAATCTCACAGAACTCAGTTAAAGACTGACTTTCTGACAAATTATCCTATTTACACTTTGTAGCAAATTTTGACAGTATAGAATAAATGTTTCAGACTCATATTAATGACACAGGCTGTTTTCTAAATGAGAATTTGGTTTATAGGGGCGGTTGCTCTTTATTGAGAAAGAAGTTGCTAGTTATGATGAACTATTGTTACTTCCCTGTGCTTACCACATGCGTGAGGTTACCAAATTATTATTTAGAATTCAAGCCAAGCTGACATGTGACATTAACTCACTGCCTGTTATAGAGCATGGGAGCAATTCTATTTCTCCTGATTCTGGGTCAGTAAATGTTCAGCTTTTTATTTGACTAAAATATCATAATTTAGTCTATTTAAAAGCTATATAATATATGTCTGTGTGCAGTTCAACCTTTGTTTATGTCTTCATTTAGCGCTTCTCAAGGACCATGGTCATGGAGCTCCACAGAAAGGTGGAGATGAAGCTAAGGGGATTTTGTATTATGCTATTTGTCATGTTAATGATGATGAAGACTGATGGTGATATGATATATTCATGTGTAATGTATTTTAGACTTACATTTTTTAAATTATTGTATTGTTAGGTTGATCAGTAATATTCACCTAAATCAGCAATTTATAAATAGCTAATTTGTTCATTCTCCAGCATTAACCAGACCTTGCTCAAGAACATTCAACACCATTCACTTCAAGGGGTGTCTTTATTCAGAAAATATGTATCTATTTTGACTTAAATATGATCTCTGTCATAACTTTAAATACCTATCTGGCCTTTCTCATGTAGATATATACGTAGGTTAGTGTAAGGATGCTGTCTGTATGAACCTTGTGTGTGTAGGTGAGAAATAACATTATTTTCCTCTGATGTATAGGGCTTTAAACCAATAGTCTTATGGCTACCTTGAGTTTGTGACGAGCCAAAACCTGTGCTTTTAAATGGCCATGTAACTACATTACACATGTCATAACGTTATATTGTATATGTTGTGTCATATAGATATCGATGAGTGTAGTAACAACTCACTCATCTGTGGGGACAATTCAGCTTGTTTCAATACTGTTGGTAGCTACTACTGTGAGTGTCTTCCTGGGTTTATGGACGTCGCTGGTGCCACTCGACAATGCTTGGGTAAGAATTCTGTCTTTAGTATCATCCTTATAATCAGACACATTCACCATCATCTCTCCATCTCCACTTCATCCTCATCAATCTCAACACTCTCTTTATCTTTCAGACATAGAAGAGTGTGTTGAGTACCAACATATTTGTGGGGAATGGGGAACCTGTCTTAATCAGGTGGGTAGCTACCTGTGCCAGTGTCCCAATGGATTTAGAAACACTGGCGACGGACAAACTCAGTGTGTAGGTGAGAGAAAGACGATTTTTCTAGAGTCTTCTGACTCTCCCATCCACTGCTGTGTTATTTTGACTGACCCATAACATTCTGTTGAAACTTTTATTTACTCCTTGTGTAACAGTCTTTACTGTCCCTGACCGTACCATGGCTCAAACTAGTTATCCTCTGCTTAGCAAACACACATAACTGTCCGCTTGACAACACACTAGCCAGTTGCGCCACCGAAAAGGTACCATTTCGGTGATGCAGGTGCTAACATTTTAAACTCTCATACACTTGGACTCATCAATATTATTTAGATATCAATGAGTGTATAGACATTCTCCCCATCTGTGGGGACAATTGATCTTGCGTCAACACCACAGGCAGTTACTACTGTGTCTTCCTGGGTTTAGATTAGAGCCCAAGAATATCACTGGCAAAATGTTTGTGTGCGCGTGCGTGCGTCTTGCGTTCATGTGTGTGTTTGTGTGTGTGACGTCCTTTCCTTGTCATTCCACACTTTCATCCTCTCTCTTTCCCTTTCAGACATTAACGAGTGTAAGATAGACAGAGTATGTGGAAAGAGGGGGATCTGCCAAAACCTGAATGGCAGCTACTGGTGCCAGTGTTCTGCTGGATTTACTAACTTCGGCAACAACCAAACTAAGTGTGTAGGTGAGAGACAAGCACCATTCCACCTGTCGTCCATGATGCACTCCTTTGTCATGCATGTGGTAGAGCAGGTATGTAGACCTGGTTTTGTGGGGTATTGGGATAATTTTCCTTCATGTTTTTTCTTCAGAGCTAAATTGTGACCAGGATGAAACACAGGGTACGCCTGGACAGGTAAGTTCTTCATGTTAAATAATGAGTAAGCTTGGAATTTAGAGAAGCATACCTCACTTGATCTGGTAGTGTATGTATTTATGTTCTCTCTCTCTCCTTCCTCTCTCTCTCTCTCTCTCTCTCTCTCTCTGTCTCTCTCTGTCTCTCTCGTCTCTCTCTCTGTCTCTCTCTCTCTCTCTCTCTCCCCTCTCTCTCTCTCTCTCTCTCTCTCTCTATCTCTCTCCCCCCTCTCTCTCTCTCTCTCTCTCTCTCTCTCTCTCTCTCTCTCTCTCTCTCTCTCTCTCTCTCTCTCTCTCTCTCCTCTTCCTCTCTCGCTCCTCTTTCTCTTTGTCTTTATTTATCTCCCTCCCAGACTCTTCCAGGCTTTGACCATTTCTTGTCTCTGTTGAGAAACAACTGTTTGATGTTGAGTAAATCTACATTGTCTGGACCTACCGGAAATGTGCTTTTGACAGTAAGTCACCACACAGAAACACACACATTCAAACACACACACACACATCTACGACCCTTATGTCTCTTGTCGTATCGAGTGAGTGGTGGCAATTATTGCTGATGAACAAAAGGAGTCTGCTCATACTGAACGTTGATCATAAGGTTTATTCAGATCAGAAGCTTCAGCATGAGTGACAGGTGACATGACACCCGGAGAGTGACGCCTCAGAATGGCTGCTCGTTCTGCCCTCTCCTTCGTTTTCCCCCCTATTTATAACAATGATGCTCCCTCTTCTGGCCAATCACCAGTCTCCCCTGGGGCGTCACCCTAAAACATTCCCTTTTGATACTAACATAAACAACATTCATTGTTCCTCCAAAACAGTCATAATGTTAATACACCACATTTCCCCCCTTCGAGACGAACTAAACGTCTCGAAAACAAACAGAATAGGATTATGACCAGTAACAATTTATCTTATTGAGTATCTTTAACATTAAACTAAAAACATTCTCCTCTAGAGTGTAAATACCTTTCTATGAAATATGAATAACTGTTTATGAAGTGTGAATACATTACTATGAAATATGAACAAATCTCTATGGAGTGTAAGAGCGAAAAACTGTCCGGCAACCTTCCATCCATCAATCAAGACAGTAAAATTCTCTCACGGTCCCTCTGCCCCAGGCAACCACCTTCGGTACTCCAGATAACCTCATAAACCATGTAAATGCATTTGAAACTATGATGCAATTAAATACACATGTAAGCCCCTGCAAACAAAATCCTATCCCAAAACATCCACTTGTAAGGCTGGTCAACCCATTGGACCTTACAGTGAACCTCTCCCTGCCTAGACTTTCCTGTCCCTAAACATTCACGAAATAAACAAAAACATCTAAGATCCTCACATGTATTCAATAACATCAAATATCCTTCTACAAAAATTAATCCCTAAGAATATGACACAATTATGTATTACACATGTCTATATTTCATTGCAGACACTGGAATGTAGTCCACTACACTTCATCTCCCCGTAGTCTCCTCTTCCAATGGACTGTTGATGATGGAATCGGAATCTTTCCACACCCTCCTTGTTTCATCTCCTCCAGTCATATTGTCCCCTCATATTGTCGTTGTTTGAGTATTTCAATCTCCATATGTTCCCCCAAATGCTTCTGGAAGAAAAGGAAAGACCAAACAGTATCTTTTCCAAAAAAAACACTTTCAAATTGAACATCAATATCCACTAAGAATATAGAACTGATATATAAATGATGCATGAATCACATAAACCTATTCCCCCCTTGATTCATAAATCATACCAATATCACCCTAATATTGAATTTTTTTTTTGAAAAATGATCAAAACATAACAAAATGATATTTATCCATTCAGTTCCACTGGTCCATCTTTATCCAGATCAGGAACAGTCAACACCGGCATCTGAGTGTTGTCTCCAGGCATGACTCTCCAACCTATCTCAATATCATAGCTTTCTCAAAGGTCAGTAACAAATTACAAACATCACACAGTGTTATCAAAGCTGAAACTAAAATCTGACCCATCACTGCCCCTACTGGGCCTAACTGATCTTGCAACCAAATCTTTCAGATCTCCCAAACACATCCCTTATATTCTTCAATGCATATAAACTATCTGATCAAGTATAACTTTCATCAAAGGTCTCCAAATGCCTTGGA